ACAGTATCCATCCGTGGTTAATTTCCTTAAGTAATCAGAGTCAAGATCATTTATGGTTTCTGTAGCATTCAGCATTCAGTTCATAAATATGGCATGTGCAGCGTTTTTTCTGCCTGTATTTTAAGGTGGGCCTCCCTACTCTAAATACAGATCTGTCATTCCTCTTTCATATATCAAAAAAGACAAGAAAGAAACTTCACTTTCTAAACCACTTTAAACACATATGGCATAGCATGCAGCAAAACCGTAATAGCCGCTTGACAAAATACAAAATGCAAATAATCTAAACAAGAGACGAGCAACAAAACAGAAACTAATTAACTAGAGAAGGAAGCTTGGACTGAGGAGGAGAGCAGAGTTTACTCTTTTATAGCAAAGCAGTCCTTTGACCCAGCAGTAAAATTAAACTGAAGAGCTCAGCTGTACTGGGCAGTGGCCCAAACCAGGTGGGAGTACACCAGATCATGACCAAAGGCTTCTCAGACCAAAAATTAACTTTGCAAGTTAAAAATGGACAGAACACCAAAAGAAGTGGAAGAAAATAACAGATTCCTGGTGTAGGTGATGAACTCAGCCTAAGAAAGAAACCACAGACATGTTCTCTGAAAACCTGCAAGATAAAAGGCTCTCTAAACTTTGGTTACCAAGCAATGCATCTGGTAGTGGGGATTTGGCAGAGTCTACTGAAACATAGTGGTGGATGGGACGACAGCATATAAAAAGCATGGGAAGGAGGACTCGTCACTGGGAAGTGCAAGATGAGCTTACAGAACCTATAAAGGGTATCAGTGGGAGGTGTAAGAAACCTGGTGCAAACACAGAAAGCACTACTCTTCTCAAAATAAAAAAAGGTTTGGGTCAGATCATAAGAGACTGAATTCAGGCTATTTAAACAAGCGAGAAAAAGCTGAACACATTTATTAAGAGAATAATATCACCTCCTTCGTGTCATGAAAACAGACATGAAAAAAACTAGTTGTCTGAAGTCTTCCTTGTAGAATTGTATATAATACTTTTCCTTGGCTTTTGTTGGCATTCTACTGTGGTAAAGACCTCAGGCTGTTAATAAGCAAAACCTAAGCCACCACCAGGAACATGCTTCCTTCAACTGTATCACTATTAGTTTTGTTTCTTTGTATATTCAATTTCTTCATTTATCACCCTATTCCAGAGAAGCACAGAGATCCATGTTCAGACATGCCTCCTTCCATGATGTTATTATGAGTACTGCAGGCTTAGAAACAACAAGTGAAATATTTAGCAATCCAACGAACATCACAAGATTAGAACACGGCTTTCCAAGACACCTATGTTTTATTTCACAGCACCACGGTGGATCCATTTAGCATTGACAAAAGACAAAAAGCTGTGCTGTGATACATTTCAGTAAAAGATGATGGTAATGCTAAAATACTGTCTTTTAATTAAGGAACCTCTTAAAGTGCACTAATATATAACTGCAACATTGTTACTGTTCTGCCTCAGGGTATGCTATTAGGGAAGTGATGGCAGTGAAATTAGTTAAGTAATGTATTCTTATTGCCATGAAGTTGGCAAATCTTATCTAAAAAGACGTTGCTCAAAACCATGAAAATACACTAGAAAGCACCAGGATGCAAGTCTGGAAAGCAGAGTATTGGCCATAACCTAGAAAATGCCTTTGTGTACAGTCCGAAAAACAGTATTCTATAAAATTCACTGAAAGGACTCAGTGCATGTATGTGTTTTTAATTTTAAGAGCACTATAGCTGCAAGGAATAGAGACACTGTACTGAACATTCCCAATATAATATGCTAGAATTTTGCCAGAAGAAAGCAACAGAAACAGTTCCTGCATCCTGGATTTCAAGAGAGGAGGAAAACTCTTTTAGCTCAATGGAAGCTATAAATACCAAGAAACATGTATCTACTGAAAGTTCAGGGTTTTTTTTTCTCCAGTGAAGAGGCTTAAAATTTATGTCACTATCCATGACATTAAAGGTGTCCCAGATATTAGCAGCTGACAAAGATAATAAGGGGAAAAAAAAAAGAGTTTCAGAGAACGTAAGTTTAAAAACAAAAGGAATATTTTAAGCATTGGTCAGAACAAGTAGCAAATTAAGTAACTTCCTGCTTTCAAGGTCTTTATTCTAAGACACTGGTGGCTGTTAGTGTTGCTACAAGACCACATTAGTCCTTCCACAGAAGGAGCATGCTGAACCTGAAAGTGATGACTGGGACACTGTTAGTCCACAAAGAAGCAGGAAGTAAAATGGAAGAAGGCACATGGATGAGACGAAACCAGGCAGATGAGGCATTTCTCCTGAGAAACTGGACTGAAGAGACAGATTGAATGCACAGTTGGGGGCAGACAGGCATCTTTTATGCAGGTTTGCATGTTTCACCTATCTTTTGATACAATAGGGCAATAGGTACCAGTACTTTGGGGCTAAAAAGTAGCATGTTTTTCAGCATATAAGTCTGCCAAACTTGCAATCACACAACACATGCAGAGACAGGGTGTCCTGCTTTTGGCTGCGATAGAGTTAATTTTCTTCCCGATAGCTGGCATAGTGCTATGTTTTGGATTTGGGATGCAAATAATGTTGATAACATACTGATGTTTTGGGTTGTTGCTAAGCAGTCAAGGACAAGTCCAGCTTCTTGTGCTGGCCTGCCAGCAAGCAGGCAGGGGTGCACGGGAAGCTGGGAGGGGACACAGCCAGGACAGCTGGCCCAGGCTGGCCAAAGAGATATTCCATACCATACAATGTTGTGCCCAGTATATAAACTGGGCGAGTTGGCCAGGGAGGGGCCACAGCTTTGGAACTAACTGGGCATCGGTCAGCGAGTGGTGAGCAACTGTGCTGTGCATCGCTTGTTTTGTATATTCTTTTCTCATTTTTATTATCACTATTCTTTTTTTTCCCTGTTCTATTAAACTGTCTTTATCTCAACGCACAAGATCTATCTTTTTATGATTCTCTCCCCCATTCCCGGGTGGGGGGTGGGGGAGCAGGGTGTGCAAGCAAGGATCTGTGTCATTGTTTTAGCTACCTGCTGGGTTAAACCAAGAATACAGGGAAAAACTGCTTCCTTACCACATGTCTGATTTATCAGTTCGCTCACACTGACAGTACATGCTTTGCTACATGTCAGAGAGGAAAAACGTTCCTGTACTTACTCAGATGTATACATACCTGATTAAATACTCCACTTACTGCAACAGTGCATGGCAGAATGATGGCTGTACAACACAACATCGAAAAATGAGCTGAGTAACTGCAGGGGAACAACTAAGTGCCTACTGCCAAGCATGCCGACGAGGGCCCACAACTCTTTTTACTGAGATGCAACCTGAAGAATTTTGTCGTTTGATAATGAACACGGCTTCTACAACATTTGAACGGCAGATTTCAGGAACTAGGTCAATGCCCAGCAACATGCTATTTGTATCTTAAATGTAAGGATGGTTTTAATTTTCTAAGCAAATGCACACCACCAGATCAGCAAAAACAACAAAAATGGGTTGTTTCCCTTTTTCTCCACTTTTGAAGTACATTCTCCACCCTTTCCACAAGTCATGACCTACAGATCACTACATACTGTATTAATGTACCCTGTATTTCTTGGGCAATAACTTAACTGTATCATAAAGCCTGTATCAAGATTTTATAAGGACTGAGCCTCAGGATTCTTGTAAACAAACAGAGTATGCAATTTTCTATCTCAAAGTTTTTTGACAGTCATACCTTATTTTTAATTGAAATATATGCTCCAAAAACCATCCAAATAACTTTGGCTATATATGGACACAACTAGCATTTTAAAGGTCTGCATGGTATTCAAGCAATAGGAGACTATTGCAGCTCCCCATATTGGTATCTCCAATGAACTCCAGAGTTCATCTTCCACAACTCTAGGGTGAGATAAAGTTGCATTCATTTGATAGAAATGTTAATTGTCACACTTTACTATTTGCATTGCCACCCAAAATTGGCCTGGCATTCAGGCTGTGTGCAGTGACAATGCCCAACATTATAGATATATTTTTTTTAATCTTTTGGCTTCCCTAAAGCCAAATATTATCATCTGAGCACAGTAATGTGAGTTTGCTGTATTCACTCTGGGATTCTCTTGGTCACTGTAATTCCAGCATATCCTTTAAGTAGTAACTAGGCTCTTTTCCACATATTTGCAAGATGACTGTCCTTTTCTGACATTCATGTAGCTTGATCTGGATGCCACACCGTATAATGATCTTTCTCACAGTGCTAACCATATTCCTGGTTAATTCCACCTTCATGCAGGCAGACGTTCTCCCAACAGCCCTGGACTCAGGAACACACACTAAAGGTACTTAGATGATAGGAAACCCAAGAATATTTCTGTACTTTGTCTTCCTTACATATGCTTTGAAATGTTCTTTTATCCAAGTGTTTCCTATGTACTTTTTCACACAACAGCCATTCAAAATTCTATTTAAAATAAAAAAAAGTATTTACTGCATGAGTCCATCCCTTCACTCTCCTAAGGTTTCAATTAAAAATTAACAAAACAATGAAGGCTGAAATCCTTCATTAAATTAAGGTGGAGGAGGACTGGATTTCACTCTGGACTTTTTAACAGAATCATTTCCTTCCTGTGTCCAGCCACATCTGAAGGCAGGCCATAAGCCATACAGAAGTCAGGACATTTACAGACCTCCAGTTAAAAATGACTTATTTTAGGATGATAATTTAGGCCCTCCTGACTCTTTCCTTCCTTTCCCCTCCTCTTCAATGCAAACAAATAAAGCCTCTTTCCAAAGACTAGATTTGATCTTAAAGACAGGAAAATATCTGCATGACAACAGAACAAACACTTTTTTTGTCCCCACTAAGCCAGGATGTTAGTTAATTCCTTAATTCTCACTGAGCTTGGCCAAACAGCACTAATTTAAAAAGCCACAAGAAAACCACAAAATATGAACAATGTAGTTAATTATACAAAAACAAAGCAGTGTCAATATTCATACTTACAGGCTGAGGCTGTTCTGCAATACAGCAGTTGAAACACAACCAAAACTCACTCATTGTTTACAGTCTGAAGTGGGAACACAGATGAAAAGCGGGACTTAACCTCTGTAAATCTGTCTCCAGGTAGCAAGTTCTTTAAATAGGTTTATTTATAATGGTTCCAATGTGAAAATGTTTTCTCTGTCGAGCTCTTCTCCAAAGACAAGTCAGTCCCAGGACAAACAACTTGAAGGCAAAATTTATTTTATAGTCTTCTTTCAGAAGGTTGGTCCCAGCACCACAGAAATGTTACGTATGCTTCTTAGGTCCCTAGCGTTATGTGAACCTGAAAATAGAAGTACATTACATCAAAAAGAAAGAATATACAGAATCTCATGCTCCCAGCCAGCCACCCACACCAGTGATTTCTTGGTACCATCTTGAGCCACAGACTGAAGAGACACTAGCAAACAAGTCATGTGCTTATTTCTACAGTGAATACCAAAAACGGCATATACCAGAAATCCATGAGGCTTACATTCCAGCTTTGGTTAGATGAAGTGATATCAGAACCGGTGTCCAATCTTTTGGCAGCCATCTCTGTTTGATCTGTTTCTAACTTTCAAATGTCATTCTAGAAAGTGACAATTGCCCATACACACCTTTAAACTTCTTATGGAATTGTGCCTATCAACACTTCGTATTTCTCAATGGGAAAGTTACCCAGTCCATTCACAGCATGAGGTTTAAATAGCATTTAACCCCAACCCTGTTGCACAGCTGTCAAGCAAAGTCACACTTTTCTAAATGTTGAGGAAACAAATAAATAAATTTTTGTATATAGAAAATTTGCAAAATAGCTGGACTTGGGCAACTCAAGGCATTTTTCTTCCACTCCCTCTACCCTTCTGCTTCATATACAGTTGGTTTCAAAATAGGAGATTACTTGTAGATTTTGAAACTGTTTCCTTAACCTTTAAAATTCGTCATATAGAGCAAGTAAGGCTCCAGATTCCAACCATTCCTTTGCTAAAATAATGTTTATTGGTTAATCTCCAACCCGGTTTCTTTCAGTAAGAGTGCAATAAAAATTCCTGTGAGATTTCATCCTGGTTGTTTATCTTGCCATCTATCATAAACTTTATTTGCAGAGAAAGTGAGGTAATGAGTACTCAGAAGTTTTTACATGCGTACTCCTTATTAATTTTACACACAACTGTATCCTCTTTCATAGAAATGTGTGTGTAACTGTGCATCATTATTTGTGTGCAATTCCTCAGTATGAAGTGCTTTGGAACCTCCGTAAGATAAACTACATATACACATATGCACACACATGCACATCCTGTGGCAGAGAAGTCCCACTTAGCTACTGCCTTCATCAGTTCTTTACATGCCACACACATAAGCGGTGAAGTCCCTCATTTACTACATACATGCCAAGTTACTGTACTGTGCAGCCACTACTAGCCAGGTACTTTCCAGGACTGTTGGCTACAATGCACACATACAGAAATACAGTAGCACCTTTCCCATACTAAGTCTAAAGCCCCTGGGAAGCTTTCCCACTCTTACCTTTTAAGAGACTAACAGAGGCTTTTAAAGAAATAGATGCGTGCTGCAGTAACACGGTCTAAATAGCAAAACCCCAGCAGAAGTACTTGTCTCTCCTAGTTTTGAAAAAGCTAGTGGTAGTATTTAAGTATATAGTCCTGTTTGTGGCATTTCTTGCCCAAAGATCAGAATAGGAAGGGGGGAACAAAATGCTTTGCTAGCTTTTCCCATCACTAATACCATATAGAGCAAATATATTTTTCTTACCTTGAGGGTAACAAAAAACCTAAACAAAAACTAAAAAAAAAAAAAAAGATTCTACACAACCTTTCCTCTGTCAGACACTTCAAAAAAGCTCTTAGTACAGTGCTAATATGACATATTTTCACTACTTAAGATTTTTTCCTACCTCAGAGACAATCATCTAAATCCCATGTATGTGTCAAGAAGCTGCAATAAAACATGGGAATTATCAACCAAGAGTATGAAATCCAAGAATGAAAATAATTTAAAAAGTCTCCAAGGAAGTTCTCACTTCATACATAGGACATTTTCTCAATTCAATTTCACATCATTTTCTCAATTCTTCTGGCTACTGGAAGTTTGATCAACCATAAATAGCAAGAGCTGGACGAATGTAGAAAAGCTTGATAAGAAAAATACTGTTCTCTGCAGTCTCCGAATTTGCATGCTACACAATTCTTTTCTAAACTTGATTCAACATGTAATAAAACTGGAACTCAAACATGGTTGACTTAGCAAACAATTGCTAAGCATGCAACAATTGACAGTTTCAGTCCAACAGAAGTCCAGTACAGCTCATCTCTCCTTAAAACTTGGTGCGTTTACTCCTGAGAAGATGGCTCTAAGTTGTTCTGAAATGCAGCAACAGTCCCTCAATGCTAGCTGCTAAGATTATGAGAAATTGAGAAAGCAAGTAGTCAGAGTTAGAGCATTTTGAAATCTAATACGTTGTAACCTGCCAGAGCTATAAATGGATATACTGCAGTGGGCTGCTCTTGCTGCACAAGAGACCTAATATTCCGATTTGCAGTTCCTGAAATTCTGACACTCGTATTATTGATTCCTCACAATCTGTTTTTGACGAAGTCCAGATTTAACATACCAAATTCTTGTTCTCACAGAGGCTTAACTTCCATCCTGCTGTTACACCCGTGTACAGAAGACGTACATGGAAAGGGCTGGGCAATTCCTCTGTTGATCCGTCTCTTCATTTGCTCACTCACAGCTGGCATGCTCCTCCAGCTCGCTGCAGCGTTACGCGTTGTGTTGAGCTGAAGCCCTGGGAACAAACCCAAAGGGCTTGTTCATGCTCCTGTGAGCCTGGAAGTCTCTTCCTGGTTACAAAATACTCAAGGGTGCAGAAGACTTTCTCCGCCCAGCCACTTTCAGCATGCAGGACTTGTGCCCTCCAGGAACTGATTCCCCCGCACTTAAATCAAAAGCTGCTGAATGACAAAGCCAAGCTAGAGATCATGAACAATAGTCTCTGATAACACGTTCATTCTTAAAAATGTATTTTTCTCTTCTATAGCTTGTATAGTGCCACATTTGCCTTTAATTTAATGTTTCTGCAATCAGTACCAAGCAGTTTTTCCAATTTGTTGCCCTCTAATTTAATTTAAAAAAAAAAAAAAAAAAAAGGTGGTGGGATGACGTATCTGTAAGTCTGGAGAAAACTGACAGTAAATGCACCTCTTGAAAGGGAAACAAAAGCTTAGCAGTATTCGTTAGAGCACTGGAATTTTATACACCCCCACTCTGCTAAACAAATGATTTTTACAGTGGCCAAGTTAATATAAAAGATCAGGTATAAATCTGCCACACCAAAATGGAAAGAAAAAGCAATTAAGTGGAAGGCAAAAAGGCGTATTGGCACTGTGACGTCAACAGCAACACACCAGGACTTCTCTTACACTGCTAGTTGCTTGTTTAAAGAACAAGTTGAAACAGGAAAATTCTGCTGTTCTTTTCCAAGATATTGGTTATAAAGGAAGAAAGAAAAAAGCACAGTACTGACCTACAGCTACGAGTCATGTAGTTACGTAGTATCAGCCCACTAGCAATCTCGTGAGAAAGTGTTCCTGTGAAGCCTGGACTGCACCCCAGACCTAGCTGCCATTAATGAGATCCCAAAACATGAGCAATACTTCACAGCTCTGCTTTGTCATGGGACCAAGCTTTTAATACAGCGCTGTTCACAAGTGTTGCTGCATTTGTCTGGGTCGACTTGCCAGATGAAGAGGACAAGAGAGGCTGAAGAACACAGTTCAAGACAACAGCTCCGTCACTTTCTGTTTTCGCTCTTTACAGGGTTTTATGGTGCTGAGTGGCACACCACCATACGGCTCGTGTTGGAAAGACAAGGCACTTATTCTCTCTGAACTGGAAAGTTAATCAGTGGTGAACGGTGAAATACCTATTTGCTTTTTCCCCGTTTAAACTTTCTGCACTCTGAATGCAACTTATTTCAGAGTGTACAATTCACATTGCAAGAACACACAGGACTAACATGCTGAACAACTCTGTCACATTTTAAGGCTTTCAAACCTTACATACAACTTTAAATTAATCCCATATATAGACGTTTTAAGTAGTATGAAGAAGTGATTATATTAAAATGGATACATTGTTTAAAATTTCAAGTGAAAGCCAATAAAGTAATTTTCATTACTCCAAAGTTTATTCCACAGTAGCTGATCTAATGCAAAGAACCAAATCTACTGCTTATTGTTAAATGCCAGTCATAAAGACAGCAAGTGCAAACAGTGCATTAATGGATAGTGGGGGCAGAGCACGTTCTCTTACAGTATCAGCAAATTTTTTTATTAAAGCAGTATTAACTTTTCTGTAGGAAATAAACAGAGCAGGAAAGGAAGAAGGGTAAAAAAAGGCAATGAATCTCCCCTCCAAGCGCTTCACGTTTACTGGCAAAAAGGAGGTTAGAGAGCATTTACCTTATTTGATCAAAAGAGGAATATGCTCCAGTTAGAATAAAGCTGCTTATTAATTACATAGCTTAAGAACAGCCTGCTGTTTTTAAAAACACTTACAAAGTTCCTTTTAAGGCTGAACCCTCTATATCCTTTGACTGCATACTGTTCACTATGGCTTCAAACAGGAAGTGCAGTAACAACGCTCTCTGACAATTACTTGAGGCAAATAAAACCACAGGAAGAGAAAGAAAATGACTGCAGGTGTTAACATCTCAATTTAAATAGATTTGCTCCAAAGCTCAGACTACTATTTAAGGGGGCGGGGGAGGTAAAAAAAAAAAAAGTGAAGCATGTACAGAGCCATGACTAAGTATCCCATGTCATATGCCATGACATTATGTAGCATGACATGCACATATATGCATGAAGTCACAACCAAAACTACTACTAGTTTTTTAGTCTCAAGTACTTTATAAGAGACACATTTACAATTATTATTGACGTGGAAGTATGATTCCGTAAAACGTACTCTTTTTTTCCCCTGCCTTAAAGGCTTTGAACAGCTAT